ACACAATTGAACAGCTAAATCCCGGCAAGGGAGTAACAACAATAACCTCCATATCCCGGCAAGGGAGATAATCAATATACTCAAGCCATCCCGGCAAGGGATTAATCATATCTCTTTCTATTTCTTTCATTTCTTACTCAATAGTCATTTTTTTTTATCGTTCGAGCCAACACTCCAAAGAATTTACAATTCATACTTAATCCTCATACTCTTCACATTGCATAGAATTCATCAATTAACATGGAAGAGTCATAACAACATCAGAATAAGTACAAACAAGGAACCACGGTCATGCTAGACACCGGTGTATAGATACTCGTCAGCATGCCTATACACCGTACTCCACATTTAGCAATTAGCAAACAACACTCTAATCCTATTCCCTCAAACCAAAGTTAGATCAAATACTTACCTCGAATGCTCCAAACTCAACTCAATCCTCTAGTATAGCTTTACCCCTCGAATTCACCACCAAACCGCTCGAATCTAATCACAAATTACTTGAATGTATCAACAAATGCTACTTGAATCAATTTGACTGCATGAAAAATGAATTTCCCAAAGTTTGTTCAAAAATTCCCAAAATTCCCCCGGGCTCACGTGGTCAAAATCCGAGGTTCGAACCAAAACCCGATTACCCATTCCCCCATGAATTCAGATATATAAGTTATTTTGGAATCGGACCTCAAATTGAGGTCCAAACCCCCCAAATTTAGGAACCCTAGTTCTACCCTAAATTCCCAAATTCCCCCATTAAAATCCTTGGTTTGAAGTTGAAATTATGATTAAGGATGTTAAGGAGTATAGAAAATCAGTTAGAAATCACTTACCAATCATTTTGAAGAAGTAGAATCGTTTGGAAAATCGCCTCTTATGTTTTGGGTTTTGAAAAAGTGAAAAACGACTGAAAATCCCGACTTTATAGACTGTACTAAAGACCCGGCGCGGAACGCACAAAAATGCCCCGCGGCCGCGCCGAGGAAAGGGTGGGGAAACCACTCTCTGAACCTACCCAGCGTAGACCGCACTGATTTGGTGCGCGGCCGCGCTGGTTGAATGAAATCCCAAGGCCCCTCTCTGAATCTTCCAGCG